TTGATTGCCACAGCCAGCGCGTTCGCAACCGGACGCGATGCCCACGCAAATACGAAGACGCCGCGTGCGCGAGAGGGGGGCCATGACGACAATGAGAACATACAAGTGTATTTAATATATGTATTACTTGGCGTGTTCGCGCGCGATAACTGAGACGGCGGGCGTGCGGTGGCGCGGGAGTGTGACCGGGGGGCTGGTGTGCGTGCGACGGCGGGATGTGAGCGGGCGGGCACACAAGGGAACAACGTGTTGCGCGACGCGTGGGCAAGGTGGCGGCGCATCTCGGACTGGGATGCATGCGCGCGGCGATACGTCTGTGCCGAGATGATCAGACGGTGCGAGCCGACGGCGCGAGCGCAGAGGACGCGCATGGAGACATCGTGAGGCTGCGCCCGCCGGCGGCCGACGTTCGTGTGCTCGTTGCGCGCACCGCACAATGCGACGACCGAGCGGCCTGTGCCATCGGTTTCAAGGAACAAGCGAGTGTGTCGCCAGCCATTGATGCGGCTCGTCCCGCGCTGATCTCTCTGCCGTCTTGCGCCACAGAGTTGCGCCACAGCGTGTACGTGGTCTTGCTCGCGTCATGTCGTGCTCGCGTGCTGACCGTCACGTCGGCTGGCCGTCCCATTTCCACGGGCAGCGTGCAGGTCGGATCTGCGGATCCAGGTACGCCGCGCGTCGGCTCTTGCGCGTCGACGCGTCAGGCGCTGATGACGCTGTCTTATACGCGCCCGTGCAAGGCGTCGTCGGGCAGCACAACATGTGCGCGGGGCGCCGCGCTTCATGCTGTGTATGCGCCCGTGTGCCGTCTCTGCGCGTCAGTAGCGGGCTGTGACATGTGTGCTAGCAAGGACGCGAGGATCGCGCGTGGGTGCTCTGGGCGGCGCGCTGGCTGCGGGCGTCGCTGTCGTGCGCGGGGGGCGGCGCAGTGACGTGAGGACGGAGAGGCCGTGTTGTGGCATGTATGACGTACCTGCATGCGCGGGATGAGAGGACGATGGGGCGTCATGCTTGACGACGCGTGACGGAGGCGGAAGCGAGAGGAACAGGTGATGGTGCACGATAGGAGGCCGCCGTGCGAGACGCGCCGAGGAGACGGCGCGCGTCAAGACGGGGCGGGCAGCCGTGGAAGACCGATGGCAAGAGGCAGCAGCAGAGGTGGGCGAGGCGGGTGCAGCGTATGCCGAAGACCGGGAGCGAGCGGGCGGGCTTGGGCGACAGAGGCGGGCTGTGGAGAGACAGTGCGGGGCGCGACGACGAGCGACGCACAAAAAGAAGAATGTATTTACCTTGCGCGGCGGTGGACGTCGTCGACATTGGGGCTATAGACATGTGAGGGGCGGACTCGAGAGGGAGAGTGACGCACCGGATGACGCACCGGAGTACGGGACGTCTGCTCGTCGTCGCGATCAAGGAGAACCGGGGACGGCAGACAGTCGCGGGTGATGCGCGCAGCGAGCGGGCGCACTTTGCGGGAGGACGGGCCGGTGACGCAAGTTGCGCGCGGGGCGATGAAGGGCGTGGGCGCGTTGTCGAAGCCCATGCTGACCGGGCTGCGATGCCTCGACGAGTGCCTTTGGAGGTGCTCCGGGCGGCCGCGCGTGGCCATGGATGCTTGTGCCGCTGTGCTGAGGGCCTTGATGAGGTCTAGTCGAGGGCCGGCGCTATCAAGCAGTCAAATTCGCGCTCAAGACACATATATACAGGCGCGCAGTGGGGAGACGCGGAGGATACATGGCGTGCGAGCAAGCAGACTCGGGTGGAGGGAGGCCTGGGTGAGAGGACGACCGCTGTGCAGGGGCCGTCCAAGGCACGTGCACGGGCATGGCTCTGCGGAGGGAACGGTCAGTGGGGACAGGAGGGCAGAGACAAGGACGGGGCGTATTCCAAGAGGACGGGAAGCGCCTTGGCGTGAGCGGGGCGGCATGGACGACCGTCGCGCATGGACCCGCAGTGCACTGATCACGCGCAGATGACCAGCGACGGCCAATGCGCCCTCCCTTGGCATGCAACGAGCGCAGACGCGGGGAGAGGCGCGAGGGATAGGCGCCTGTCGAGTGCGGACCCACAAAGGCAGACAGAGTGTCAACACAGCGCGTCCGGTTCGTCTCGCCCTTTCGCGTGCCGGCCCTTTCTTCTCCTTCACCCGACGTCCACCATCTGCGCTCGACGTCAACTCTGTCATCGCGCGGACACTTCTCGACACTCACGACACCCCTCTGACGTCTCGCGTGTTCCTCCCCCGCCGATTCTGCCCTCAGCCACACGCTCGACGACACCCGGCAGTCCTCAATCTCGGTTGCTGGCACGCCATCGTCGATCGCGCATATTCCATTGTGATCGCCCTCGGGGTCCTTGGTGAGTCGTGCCCTGCGTCCCCCGTCCCCCGCACGGCTGAGCCATGTCCTCCTCGCCCGCCTGTCCCTCGCCCGCGTCGCCGCCCCAGCCCCCAAGTCGCGCCCTATCAACGTCTATATCCGCCTAACACTACATACAACCCCACACCCCCACGCCACACTCCCCCTCCCCCTCCGCCATGGCCGGCGCATCCCGCCGTTCCCCCGACCGCGCCGCATCGCGCGCAAACCCCATGAACCCCCCGCGGCCCCCCAATGCCTGGATCCTCTACCGCTCCGACAAGCTCAAGCAGATGATGCAGTCGCAGCTGCAGCACGGCCACCCCAAGAAGCCGCAGTCGAGCGTCTCGAAGGAGGTCGCGGCGATGTGGAAGGCAGAGGACCCCGGGGTGCGCGGCGAGTACGAGCGGCTGGCGGACGTCAAGAAGGCGGAGCACGCAGAGCAGTACCCCGGATACAAGTTCCAGCCGATGAAGAAGGAGGAGAAAGCGCGCCGCCGCGAGGAGAAGCGGCTGGAGAAGGAGCG